GAGTGGATGGAGGGATAGATGGGGTAGATGAAAAGATGGATGGATGAATAAATAGTAGGAGATATGTCGTGTGTCCCTGTGGATGGACAGATTAGTGCATGGATGAATAAACTGTGCATGGGTGACTATATGGTGGATAAGTGTGTAGATGAATAGATTAGTTAAAAGTGGAAAGATAAATGAATAAATAGATTCGTAAGTGGGTAGATGAAAGATATGAGTTCATAGATAGATTAAATGAATGTGTGAGTTGGTTGATAAGTAAGTTGGTAGATGGGTCAATACGTGTTAGGGCGAGGATACATAAACGGGTAGATGGATGAATAAGCGCGTGGTTGCGTGGATAATGGATATGCTGGTTCCATCGGCGAGAGCGAGGGGTGACAGTAGGCACAGACTGAAAGATGTAGTGAGTGGGTGTAACTGGAAAACTCATTTGTCTATACTGTCAGATAATTAACATCCAGTCTGACTAACAGGAAACCATATCTTTATCAAAGGAACTATTTCGCGTTGATGGGTATTCTATCATAAAAAAGCCGTTACCTCAAGAAAATTTTCCCAGTGACGAAAATTTGCTGTGACAGATAGTCATAATTTGCATGTACAGCGTGATGCGGGATACAAAGAGCGATTATTTGCCCGTCTCATAATTGTCTTCACAAATACGGGTATCACAGAAATAAGTCGAACCTAGCATGCGTGATTCTACTTCGGTGGAAGGAGGATTCAGCTCCGACATTGAAATACCACGGACGCCTGATGGAATTGCCAAAGATACCAAAGGGATAAAGAACTGATGACTTTCAGTAAGTGTTAACCTTTTGTTCTTTTTATTTTTAGAGCAGATACTCATCGAAGTAAATCGTATCATGCGGTGTCTTTCGACATATAATTAGTATTAATAACATTGGTTTGTATGTTAATCCAGAAGGGTCTGTCTTTCAAAGACCGAGCGAAAACTCATAAAGAAGCATAGCTCTATAAAAAGATGATTTCACAGCTAGATAAGACAGTGAAAGCGTGGGATGAAATCTTGTGTGCATAGTTACATGTTTAGGGACAGTTTTTAATGATGCACCTAATTAAACATGCACTCACTGTATATGTATGTATGGGGCGGTGGGGTAGCCTAGTGGTTAAAGCGTTCGCTCGTCACGCCGAAGACCCGGGTTCGAATCCCCACATGGGTACAATGTGTGAAGCCCATTTCTGGTGTCTCCCGCCGTGATGTTGCTGGAATATTGCTAACAGCGGTGTAAAACCAAACTCAGTCAGTATATGTATGTGTACTATGTATTTATGTCTGTATGTCTGTCTGTATGTCTGTCTGTCTGTATGGACGGACGGACTGATGGGTGGATGGATGGATGGATGGATTGCCTGTGGATATAGTTTACAGCATAAACTGAAGTTTGTTTGTTTTCAGTTTCACTACTGGGTTAATGCAAAAGTCAGTCATATTGTGACGTCGCCTCTCTCTCTCTGAATGATAGTTCCCAACATGGGTACAATGTGTGAAGCCCATTTCTGGTGTCCCCCGGGGGTGGTGGGGTGGTGGGGCGGTCTAGTGGTTAAAGCGTTGGCTCGTCAAGCCGAAGACCCGGGTTCGAATCCCCACATGGGTACAATGAGTGAAGCCCATTTCTGGTGTCCCCCGCCGTGATATTGCTGGAATATTGCTAAAAGCGGCGTAAAACCAAACTCAGTCAGTCTGGAGTCCCACGCCGTGCTATTGCTGGAATATTGCTCATAGCGGCGTGAAACCCAACTCACTCACTCACCCACAGAAATCAATTTCCTTCAGTCTTTGCTGGCTCTTACGCTGCTAAATATAGCTACCGCAGTCCCATGACTTACCACCCTGATCCTGATTGTAACCACGTGATCACAATTAATCTTCGAAAACAAATAATTTTGTTTTTTCTTGATTTATTTTCAGGAGGCAAAGACTGTAGCTGTTCTGTCACAGGTACGTGAGTCACTTACAGCAGAAGCTGCACATGCGCAGGTATTCATTTGTTGACGCATACAACCTTCATTGTTCATACTGTTACATAGAACCTTCATTGTTCTCGGCCAGTGTGGCCTCGATGTACATTCTTACCTACTGGTGTTTTTATTGAAACTCTCGGTGTCCAATAACAACTATTAAGTACAATGTTTCAGCGTCTTTTGGTATGACGGGGTATTAACCATGAGCATCGAACCGCCCGCCCGCAGACAGACACTCTATCCCATACAACAAGGAGGTCGGCGAATAATTTGAAAAGAGTTACGCAACGATAACATTTCGGCATTTGACATAATGTCAGACGTTAGATACATGATAACCAACTAATCTAGGCCGGAGAACGAAGGCATGGCGACGATGGGTTTTTATAACAATGTACACAATCTAGTCACGTTATATAGCTATGGGCTAGAGTACAGTGTAACCGCGTTATGCATGAAAATATTTGTCCTTTTCATTATTGCTTTGTATTAGTTATCACAATTTTACTGGTTAAAAGCAGTGACTGTGTGAGTTGAGGTGAACGCCCTTTTGAATACTATTCCAATTATATCAGCTTAATGTGGGAGAGTGACTGAGTGAGTGAGTTTGGTTTTACGCCGCTTTTAGCAATATTCCCGCAATATCACAGCGGTGGACACCAGAAATGGGCTTCACACATTGTACCCATGTGCGGAATTGAACCCGGGTCTTCGGCGTGACGAGCGAACGCTTTAACCACTAGGCTACCCCACAGCCCTAATGTGGGAGAGGAGACGGTGGGAGTAGCATAGTGGTTAAAGCGTTCGCTCGTCACGCCGAAGGCCCGGGTTCGATTCCGATCCACAAAGCATTCGTAGCGTTACGAGCTATCGTAACTCTATAGTTTATCATAGGATTACGAATGACGTAGAGCTACGAACGCTTTGTGAATCGTGAAACCCTGTTTCGCAAGTGAAAGTTTCCATTCTGCTGTGAAAGGGAGTGTGTTCTATACTACATGTGTGAGCGGATACGCAGAGGTGCGAACCGTGACGCTTTTATCGGAGTCTACGAATTTTAGCATCAAACTACACCAATACGATTGCACTAGAAATTCTACGAAATCTGAAAAAATTCATTAAAATTTGGATATATAGACAAGAACATATAATTTCGTCGATTAAATACATTTTCGCCAAAAAGAGAGATGACAAGAAGAAATGAAATGCTTATAACTTGAAAATCTGCCGTTGAAGGTATGTGAAATTTAAGCTTCACACTTGATTAGTGTCATATTATCTTTCTCAGAATCCATAATGATTTTAAGTATTTAGTTGACTGCTAATTTTATGGTCAAACTACCAACCTTGATCCTTGAAACTACTATTTGCAACACTTTGGGAATGGCATCTCTGTTATGGTACGTCTAATAATTCCTTTTACTTCGAATAAAAGGCGTCATACAAACGAGGCTCTATCACGCTCACAGACATGCCTTCTGCTGAACCAAATGTAATGAAATAAATAGTGAAAAGTTTGTATACCAACAAACGGATTCAAGAACGAATTTTGGACAATTAAGGTTTAGAATGTGAGACAGTCTAGGTCAGTGACTGAAGGCCGTATGTCCCGGTTGGCATTCGGGAAGGGAGGACTAGTCCTCCGCTATTGTTGTGCAGCATTGCGGTCCTCACACATTATATCGTGAATACGAATTCCAGATTTGCTCTGCTTGTGATACTTGATTAGAAAAGACAACAGTTATTTTGGAAGAGGTGCAATTATGATGAGTGTCCTATAATACCAAGGACTCGGATTCGACTCCTTACAAGGTTACAGTAGGTGAAGCTCATTCTTGGAGTCCCCCCCGACGTCAGAATACTGATAAAGGCGGCGTAAACCCAAATTCATGCCCTGTTTACTCATATAGTTTATTTAACTCCCCTTTGTGAACAGTATTTCCGTCACATCAAGGAATGGCAGCTTGTTGAGGAAGTAATTTCCAAAGCGATGCTGGTCTCAGATGTTTAATACTAGCGCTAGGCAATATAACCGGTTTACCGGTATTTACCGGTTCAGACATGAAAACGATACGTATTGCGATACGCTGATCGAAAACCGGTATTTTGACATGCATTCGGAAAACGTCGTAACACTCGGAAATCTTCGGATATTTTCTTGTTTCATTTGAGCCAAATATTATTCACATTTTTATTTTATCATGATTAAAATTTGTTATTAAAGCTTAATCAAGCATAGTGATTTTGTTGTGTTTTTGCTCTATAAATCAAGCATTAACTCGATTATAAGTAGTTTTTTGTTTAAAAATACTTCATGCAATATATTGCAATGCATATCGCAATACATGCTTTCGCATCGCAATATATCGCAATATGAATATTCTCTGCAATACCCACCCCTATTTAATACGTTGACGAAATCCACGGTTATGGTGCTGACAAACCTAGCAACACAAGCGAACCGGGACTCGAATCTACGATAATGGAATCCTGGCACGACTAATGGAGGCAGATCTGCAAAACGAAAGACGACACCTTTAATGACTGACCACCCCGGCATTTAGCGGGAAGACCAATCACAGTGATGGGAACATATCTATATAGAGATATTAAACGACCTTCCGTGTAATACAATTTTTATTAAACGAGTTAATGATTTGGTATCAAACGAGAGAAAGCGAGTTTGATACTCAATCTTTCACGAGTTTAATATAAATGGTATTTCACTGAAGCGAGTTTAGTATTCTGTTTATTAGTATAGAAACATAAATTGATAGAAACTGCCTACGATGTGATGACTCTCAGCTTCCCGCGAGTCTAGCAAGGCCTAATGCCATTGTGACAGAGGTATTAACATTGTGACGTCATAACTGTAAACCATTATGGCGTCATAGGTCTAGCGATATTACACTAGTGTAATATTACCGTAACATATTACACTGCAGTATCTTCCACGGGCGAGTAATAAAGACTAATATTACACAACAAACATCCCTTCAACATACCTTACATGTGACCCCGAGTCCTTGAAATTGTTTCTCGAAAAGAGTCGGTCAACAGTTGCGACAGAACACTGAACTTAACAAATGAACAAAAGAAATCCATTCTACTATCATCTGTTTTAACCACACTCTGGTCATAATCTTATCTGTCAGCCCGAGTCGATTAAATGTTGTCCTCGCCTCGTGTCCGGGATGTGGGCGAACATAGATAGCGTATATGATTGGAAAATGTCTGAAAGAGTCACCTACCCAAACCTGCACCTTGTTATATCCCAATGTGATAAATCCCACACACGTAGCTTACTCTTTCGCCAGCAATGTAAGCATGTGGAACGTTGTAAACAACAGCCATTGTTTGATTAAGTTTGACTTTGAGTAACAGTGCAGAACACCTTGGTGAGAGGTTATGCCGTTATTATACGTCAAAGGGCAAGTAACTTACCTGAAATGTCTTTAAGAATAATAAAAAAAAGCTGTAATCCATAAATGTTTCATGTCTTCAACACTTTAATGTCTTACATACATTCAGGATGTCAGTTTAATGAATCTACATGACTTCATCGCTGAGACCGCCTTCGTGGCCACGTGGATGGAGCACCTACCCAGAGAATGATAAAGTTGCTGGTTCGATACCCAATCAAAGATTAATATCATACCAAAAAAACGTTAAAAAGGTGCATGTTGCTACCGGGCCTTTTGCACGGCTATAAGGAAATAACACAAGAAATGGTGGACGCCCGTATACTGAGAGGGGTATTCCTGTTAAACTGCGGAATGATATCTCAATGGGAAGGCTCTAAACCGGCATCAGTCCGGATTAGTTCAGCTGGAAGCATACTCACAGGCGTGTTTGTCCGTAACTGTATAAACCACCTCACATCTTCTGTTGTTTTCCATCACGTGAGGGGGCGCTTGGGTAGCCTATAGTCCGTCAACCTAACTTTTGGAACACGTTTTTTGCAAGTTACGTTTAAACAAAAGAAGGTAGCTGTTCCAGTACTTGCCACTGAAAATGTTGCTGTTGTCAGAAACTTTACATGACAGTTTTTTAAGTGAAATCTTTAATAGTTGACATAAATTTTAGAAATTCAACACACAATTAGGTCGTCAGTTATCATTATTAACGGAGTCAATTAAAGTTGGATACCTTTTGTTGTTCAAACGTAAAAAACCGTGTTCCAAAAGTTAGGTTGACGGACTATAGCGGTGAAAGCGTTCGGTCGTCACTCAGGTGACCCGGGTTCGATTCCCCAAATGTGTGAAGCACATTTCTGGTGTACCCCACTATTATATTGCTGGAATATTGCTAAAAGTGGCTTGCAACTAAACTCGCTCACTCACGTGAGCATAAGGCAAATTCATATATGGTAGTAACTAGGACTGGGACGGGTACTCGGGTACTCGAATCCGGGTCGGGTACAGCCGGAATCGAGTCCTATTTCTAGGATGCGTTTATTTTTGGGGATATTATATTTATGTTGCAATTTAAAATAAATCTCATTTATTCTACACTCCGCCTTTTCGTTCATCTTACTGTGGGGGAGGTGGGGTAGCCTAGTGGTTAAAGCGTTCGCTCGTCACGCTGAAGACCCGGGTTCGATTCCCCACATGGCCACAATGTTAGAAGCCGATTTCTGGTGTTCCCCGCCGTGATATTACTGGAATATTGCTAAAAGCGGCGTAAAACCAAACTCACTCACTCATCTTACTGTGGCAAAGCTCAATACTGCTGATAAATAAAATCGACCAATGCTGCCCACATACAAACACAATACCATCAACCATCTCCGGAGGATGCATGGGTGCGTTACATAGGCAAAATGTAAACAACGACAAACACCCAATTTACAACACCGACATGTGCGTTAATATTTCGAGTCAGCTCGCTATTGTCACGAAATCGTGCACACAAACGAAAGATCAAAACGCCCACATTGATTGAGTTATAGTTGGCATCTTTATTTTAGCAAATTTGATTACGAAATTATCGCCGATAATATCCCGTATCTTCCATCGTTACATGATATGTTTACCGTATATATTTTCGATCGCCAAGAGACGTAACTAAGGAAATCTTTTAGATCAATATGAATGATGTTAATGACAGAGTTTGACATTCTGATATTTAGCCTCTTGATATTTGTTAATATGAAAAGCCATTTATTATCTATTTGTTTTCTAATCCACAATGAGGACTAACTAAAAGTTCAATCCATTAATTGTTTGTTAACCGTGGGTGTGCTTGTAAATTTGTCGACTCTCAGTGGGATAATATTACAGACAGATATATTCATAATCTTCAATTACTTTGACACATAATTATCATTTTGAAATGTCCTCTACACGTCTACCACAAAACGTTTTGAAAGTTTTACTGAGGCCTTGAAATTTGTAAGCCCGATCTCTTTAAAAAGAGCATGTTCGATTGCACCTCAAAACCTATGAAATGTAAACACCAAAGGCTGGAGCTGTTGGAATGTTGCTCGACATGAAAGCAAAGTTGACCATTTGAAAGTTAAAATCATCAGTTTTCTCATACAGCATAATGGAGAGGTTTTTTGTCACTCTGAACCTTTATGCATAGATCTAAATATGAAACAGTTGAGGCGGTCTCATTTCTCTCCTTAATTTCAAGTTCAGGTGGGTAAATCAGTGGAAGGGAATTACATGTATAAACAGTTAAATCGGTAATCTACTGTCATAACATATAAAAAGCTCGCGCCTGTGAAATATCAACAAAACATTAGAAAAATAGCTCACATCAAAGCCTTCACCGAGTATTCACCGGACAACCCGCTTCCAAGCTGCGCGAACCTATTTCACTGCGCATGTGCTATGAGCGCAGCCCAGCTGTTGAAACCACTTCAATTCCCCCAAGCGCTGGGGGAAAATTAGTGAATCGTTTGAACTCCGATTTCGCGCGGGTTTTTTAATCGCGTTATTTTCAACTTTATAAGTTGAATTTGCATTTTTGATGATTTGTTTCGGTAAGTCCATACCGAAAGGTATCAGAATCTGCATAGTTGTGTTTTACGTTGCATGTGACCTTTAAGGTAAACTTCTTCGACAAATTACCTTGTTTTGATTTGACCAACCCAAGCAGAAATTCTGATTCATATATGCATAAAGAAACAGATCCGCACGGAGGGGAGTACAATTGGTGCCCATGGGGATTCTTACTTGTTGTCTAAATGATTTACCCCCAAATTTTACAAGTTTATTATCAATGAGGAAGTCCAGCATTTCACACATTGTTTTCTCAGTAAACTACAGATGACATTCGCTTCCATTTTGGACTAATTGCCCTGAACCTCTAAAGACAGATGTGTGGTTATATCTTTTCACCATGTATATTTACAATTGCCCCCGTGGATCAAGTCATGATGCTTGTCGTTAGGTTTGTCTCGTGGGATGTATATATTGGTGTACAACGCTGCAAAAACACAATGTGTTGCAATTAAACTTGATCCGTTTGTGATGTGCACAACAAACACCACCACTCCTGTGTACCACAAACACAAAACTATCAAAGTACAATAAATACAAAACAATCAATGTTGTGTAAATAAATACAAAACCATCAAATGCTGTGCAAAACAAATACAAAACCATCAATATAAAATAAATACAAAACCAGCAATGTTATGTACCACAAATACAAAAACATCAATGTTTTGTACAATAAATGCAAATTCATCACTGTTGTATGTCACAAATACAAAAACCATCAATGTTTTCTACCACTAATACAAAAACAATCAATAGTGTGTACCACGAATACAAAACATCAATGCTGTGTATCACAAATACAAAACAATCAACGCTGTGTATCACAAATACAAAACCTTCAACGCTGTGTACCACAAATACAAAACCATCAATGTTGTCTACCACAAATACAAAACCATCAATGCTGTGTACCACAAATACAAAACAATCAATGCTGTGTATCACAAATACAAAACCATCAATGCTGTGTATCACAAATACAAAACCATCAATGCTGTGTATCACAAATACAAAACCATCAATGCTGTGTACCACAAATACAAAACCATCAACGCTGTGTATCACAAATACAAAACCATCAATGCTGTGTACCACAAATACAAGACAATCAATACTATGTATCACAAATACAAAACCATCAATGCTGTGTATCACAAATACAAAACCATCAATGCTGTGTATCACAAATACAAAACCATCAATGTTGTGTATCACAAATACAAAACCATCAATGCTGTGTACCACAAATACAAAACCATCAATGTTGTGTACCACAAATACAAAACAATCAATGTTGTGTACCACAAATACAAAACAATCAATACTATGTATCACAAATACAAAACCATCAACGCTGTGTATCACAAATACAAAACCATCAATGCTGTGTACCACAAATACAAAACCATCAATGTTGTGTATCACAAATACAAAACCATCAATGCTGTGTACCACAAATACAAAACCATCAATGTTGTGTACCACAAATACAAAACAATCAATACTATGTATCACAAATACAAAACCATCAACGCTGTGTATCACAAATACAAAACCATCAATGCTGTGTACCACAAATACAAAACAATCAATACTATGTATCACAAATACAAAACCATCAATGCTGTGTATCACAAATACAAAACAATCAATGCTGTGTATCACAAATACAAAACCATCAATGCTGTGTACCACAAATACAAAACCATCAACGCTGTGTATCACAAATACAAAACCATCAATGCTGTGTATCACAAATACAAAACAATCAATACTATGTATCACAAATACAAAACCATCAATGCTGTGTATCACAAATACAAAACCATCAACGCTGTGTATCACAAATACAAAACAATCAATACTATGTATCACAAATACAAAACCATCAATGCTGTGTATCACAAATACAAAACCATCAATGCTGTGTATCACAAATACAAAACCATCAATGCTGTGTATCACAAATACAAAACCATCAATGCTGTGTACCACAAATACAAAACCATCAACGCTGTGTATCACAAATACAAAACCATCAATGCTGTGTTCCACAAATACAAAACAATCAATACTTTTTATCACAAATACAAAACCATCAACGCTGTGT